GGGGGGTATATTATTATGTGTGCGGGGGGAGATTGGAATGGGGGGGTGTATTATTATGTATGGGGGGGGGTCCCCTATATTTCAGGTGCGATTAGGGATTCCTGTCACAAACATGCGTTTTACTGCACAGGAATCCCTAATTTGGTGTTTACATGCAGCAACTGTCACCCATTCAAGTTAATGATCAGGTGACAGCGGCTGCATGTAAACGCCTGCATACCGCATGTAATCGTATGTGATATGATTACATGCGTTTACAAAAACAATCACTCTCCCTGCAAGCTGCAACTGTCACCGATTCAAATTAATGATCGGGTGACAGCTGCTGCATGTAAACGCATGCACACCGCATGTAATCATATGTGAAAGGATTACATGCAGTTAGGAATCAATCACTATCCCTGGATACACAATACAATTGTCCCTGGATACACAATACAATTGTGTATCCAGGGATAGTGATTGATTACAGCTGCTGCATGTAAACGCATGCACACCGCATGTAATCATATGTGAAAGGATTACATGCAGTTAGGAATCAATCACTATCCCTGGATACACAATTGTATTGTGTATCCAGGGACAATTGTATTGTGTATCCAGGGACAATTGTATTGTGTATCCAGGGATAGTGATTGATTACAGCTGCTGCATGTAAACGCATGCACACCGCATGTAATCATATGTGAAAGGATTACATGCAGCAGCTGTCCCCCGATCATTAATTTGAATCGGTGACAGTTGCAGCTTGTAACATGTACATACATGAAAACTGGTACCGTATATAGTAGCAGCCCCCACGGGACAAAAAAATTTGTCCAGTGGCCCCCGACTAAATTGAGTCATGTGCTCTCAAATTACTCTTACCACAACCACTGAAAGAGGACACTGTATCCTCTTTGAATGCTAATTTATGGGTCATTGTTAGTGTACTTAGTGTTACCCCTTGTTGTTTTCCCCACTATCCTTATCCTATGACTATAGCAACAGGTCCCAGAACAACCAATCTGTATCAGCAAAGCTAAATTCAGCTGATATTATAATCTTACAATTCAGTGTAGGAACGCAAACATTTAATATGCAAACATATTACTGCCATATATCCAGTTAGTAATCTTACCTATAACCCCAAGTTTTGCTGGAAACATCAGCGATAATCCAACCGGAATCCCAATGAAGTAATAACCAAAAATATTTGTAATAGCACCAATTTTTTGCTTTCCCATTCCTCTTAATATTCCACAGCAAGCTGTCTACAACAGAATATTGAAGGTTAAATGTTGTATACTTCAATCATCCACAGGACTACCATAAAAACTAATTTATGAATTGCATAAACGGTGCAGTAAATAAATGTATTCTTGCACAGATTATCAAATAAAAGACCAAAAAGTTATTTTTCTTGTCCATTGAGGTACACAGGAAAACCAAAACTATTGGGTTATACTGCTGCCTACAGGAGGTTGGGACACTGGCAAACAGAAAAATTGTAAGCCAGTCCCCATTTAAACCCTCCTGTTTTTAGCATGCATCAGTTTCTCACCAGTATCCTAGGTGTTCCATTTCCCCAGTTGTGCTGAAAAAGGTCTAACTATTTTTTGCTAAGCTTAGCAGAATTTTCTTCCTGTGACTTCAATCAAGATTTCTCCCTTGCACTGCTTCTTGAGCTGGTCTCTATATAGCATCTATATAGCATCTATGTGGTCCATCATTTCCTCAGCCTGGCTTTGGAGGTCAGACCTCAATGCATGGCCAACCTGGAATGTGACCTTTGGGAACTGGGGTCTGCATTGTGGTGCTTTCCAGACCAGGGTTCACTGTGTTAGTTAGCCATTGAGCAATTTCTAGGCCCAGAGCTGTGGCACAGCCCCAGGTGTGACCCTGTCACTGAAGACTCACTTTGTTAGTAAGACCATTAAGGCTAAAGCACCAGGAGCTACCTCACTGTTTGCACAGCTGCCATTGGTTTTACCACAGTGACCTGTTGTGGCCTAAAACCCTCATCAGCTCCAGCTGCCTGGGTTTGTGAGTACCTGAGGCCTTGCCCCACATTGGGCCTAGTTGCAGTACCACAGACTCAACATGTCTTTGCTAAGACACAGAGGGCAATCCTGCTGCCATGGGTGACCTCAGCCCCCACTCCCCTAGTGGTTCTGGAGGTGTTTACCCCAGGGGGAACTGGCACCTGCCATCTGGAACCTGGGACCCCTTTTATCATAGGGTCTTTATTATCAGAGTCTTCCTCGGCCGTGTCGGGCAAGCCGTGGTCCCCACCATAACCACCATAACCTTCATGTCCGCCCAGAAATTTTTAGTTGCTTCTTCTCAGCTACCGGGGCACTCTTCCGTCAAATATTTTAACTGTCTATCTCTGACCTTCCTGAGTCCTTAAAGCTCAGATTTAGCGTCCCAACAGTACATCTCTGAAAATATTGTTAATGAGGTTTACACAGTTTTACATGGGGATGTACACATTGCCCTGCATCTGGCCTTTGGTCCTTTAGAGCTCCTACAGCTACAAACTTCTTTCCACTTCACCTGCTTTTTGAGACATTGCTCTATGTGAACTGGAAAGACCCTGAAGGGTCATGGGCTGCACCCAAGAGTGCGTTGAAACTTTTTCTTTTGAAAAGGAATTTGTAAAATCGGTGGTCTTTTCCCACCTGCTTAACCAGAAAATGACTGACTAGACTGGTTGAAGGTGTACTCATCATTTAGGGTTTCACTAACAAGCAACTAGGGTCCCTTCTTAAATCCCAGTTTGAATAAACTGGTCTGGCCCTCTGTCAATTTGTGCCGGTAACCTTAATCTGTCAGATTCCCTTAAGAAGGAACTCTCCACAGCTGGGGTAGACTTCTGTTTCATAGAGAGGCTGGAGCAAACGTATGGAACCATGTGCTTTAGTTGTGATAGCTTGCTAAAAGCATCTAAACTTGTGCCTTGGATGGAAGTGATGTCTGTACAGATGCACAGAGCACTCTGGATGCATGAATGGGACTGAGGCATGTTGTCTTTTTGGCTCTGCTCTTGACACCATGATTAGTAATGCTATGGGTCAAACTGTGCTCCTGCCTCAATGCAAGAGGTCTGCCGAGGAGTTGAAGAAATCCTACCATTTACCTTCATCTACATTGGCAGTAGGTACTTGTAGCCCTTCAGAGCCTCACTTCCACTTATACCGCAGGACTCAAAGCCTAAAGTAAACTAAACCTTCTGAAAAGCCTTTGGCATGATGGTGCACCTCCACTTCTACAGCTAAGGAGCTGTTTGTACGTCTGGGTAGGTCCATGGGTAGTTTGTCTTCCTAGCATTTAGGTTACCCCTCACTGTATTTCTTGTGCTACTGAACAAAGTATTGCAACTTCCTAAATCTTACTGTGTTCCTTGAACCCTGGCACCCCTTGTACTGCCAACCTCATGTGGGTGGCAGTATAACCTGACTGTTTCTGAATTTATGTGTCCCTTAACAGAGTCCAAGATAGAGTCTATGGTAAGTACAAAAATCTTAATTTTGCACCCACTTTCTTCTGCAGGCTTGCAGTAGTAATCATTTAATTTTTGTATAACTGAGCTAAATAATAAAATACTTACAGTTGTACCACCAAACAGGTGAAGTGGAGCAAATAGGAGCATGAGTTTTGAAACTAAACCAACAATATCCCTAAATTTAAAGACACAAATAAACAAAATACTATGAAATAATTACCATGACAGTATAATGTAATGTTTTACATATAGGTTACATAGGTTAGGACAAATTAATAAAGTAGCCATTTCACTTACTAATAGCTTTACCCTTTTAGATAAATCTTTTTTTCCCATACTATGTAGCTGTGTTCTATTTAGCCAGCAGAGCTATATATTTACCAGGCTTTATTGCAACAGCTTGCCAAAAAGGAAGAAAGAGCTTTTTAAAGCTGGGGGCAGTTGTATTAGAAAAATTAAACTGTAAAATAAAGGTCCGACACCTCCACTAGAATCCTAAAACGTATTCACAAAAGTAATTACGATTCAGGTATGTTAAAATCATAGAACAGCAAAACAAAGAGCAAAAAGGGTCCCCTGTAATGGTTCAATGCAGTAGAGGTTGTGTTCTACAGAACAGAGGTATTCTGTTAAGTGTTTTGCAACAGATGGCAGAGGAATTAATATTTTTAAAGGATTAAATAAAAATAAACCCTACTCCCCCTGGGGGGTACCCTAACCTACTCTAAGCTACCACCCAGGTGTCCACTTACCTCTGACAGTGGTGCCTTCTATGATGTTTACATCCTCCTTTTAGAAATCTTGGCACTGCGTGTGAAGTAATCCTTCATAAACTGATATGGACAATATTTGTACTGTTGGAGTATTCATGTCTAGGGGAAGTCCAGCAAGGGGTAGTGCAAAGAAGATTTCTGAATGGAGGATATAATCTCTGTGGGAAGCAGCTGCCGTTGGAGGAAGGTAAGTGGGCACTAGGTTGGGGGTATGTTAGGGTGTTAGGAAGTGAAAGCTGGTAAAATTTTATCTAAACCTGAACTTGTCCTTTAAATAAATATGCATTAATCCTGTCATTCTTTATTTAAATGTTTGGCCTTGTAGAGAGGTGACAAGACCTTAGCAGTGGCAGTAAGGCCTGCAAGTGCTTCCCAGTAATGCAGGTATCCAATGTTGGTAGGGTCAAGTCTTGGAACATACTGTGGGTGTGGAGGCATTAATGAAGGGAATCTTTGGGGTGCATTCCGAGAGAAAGCAGTTTTGACTGGTCTAGGGTGAGACAGTGCAGTGCTGACTCTGAATAGGTGAGTGAGGCTTCTGTTCTGTATGGTGTGGAGTAATGTACTGGCCACCAGTAAATCTATGTGACTGACATAGGTCTTACTGGTAAGGCAAGTGACTGAATTGATTACAGTATTGTCAGATCTGGACTCACAACTACTTTCTGTGGCTTATCTGCAAGATACTGATTATTAAAGAAATTGGATTTTTGGCCCTTATTCTGTATCCCAGTAAAAGCTTTATTTGGCCATTCATCCCATTTTTTCCCCATCATTACAGATAGGGATGCACTGATGGCATTTTTTTCAATATAGAGTATGAGTACCAATACGTTTCCTCAAGTACTCACTGATACCAATTATGATACCTTTTTTTTAGTGTCATGTGACAGTTTTTCTAAAACAATACAGACTAATGATTTCAGGACAGTGGTGGAGTGCCAGGGCCCGGTCACAACTGCAAATGCTGTGATCCTGGCTGTTCTGCCACTGACTCCAAGCTGTAGAAGGACTACACATCCCAGCAATACATTATACAGCAAGGCAGAATACCACTAGCTACAGTTGTGTGAAAAAGTGTTGGCCCCCTTCCTGATTTTTCATTGTTTTGCATGTTTGTCACACTTTCATGTTTCAGATAATCAAACAAATTTAAATATTAGTCAAATATAGCAAACAAGTAAACACAACATGCAGTTTTTAAAGGAAGGTTTTTATTATTAAGGGAAAACAAAATCCAAACCCACATGGCCCTGTGTAAAAAAGTGTTTGCCCCCTAAACCTAATAACTGGTTGGGCCACCAGTTTGATTGCAGCAAGAACTGCAATCAAGCGTTTGCGATAACTTGCAATGAGTCTGTTACAGTGCTGTGCAGGAATTTTGGTCCACTCATATTTGCAGAATTGTTGTAATTCAGCCACATTGGAAGGTTTTCTAGCATGAACCACCTTTTTAAGGTCATACCACAGCATCTCAATAGGATTCAGGTCAGGACTTTGACTAGGCCACTCCAAAGTCTTCATTTTGTTTTTCTTCAGCCATTCAGAGGTCTTTTAGATGCGTTTTTGATGCGTTTTTGGTAAAAAAAGTAAAAAAAAATTGAAAAAGTTTAAAATGGGCTTTCAGTGCGTTCCAGGCATTTGCATGCGTTTTTGATGCGTTTGCAGATCCAGAGCAGGTAAAATAGGGCCTGCTGCAGTTTTTTCACCTGCTCTGGAACTGCACGCTGCGATGTGAACTGGAGCAAAAAATACCATTGGAATACATTGGACGCAGTTTTGATCCGGTCTGTAACTGCTCTGCTCTGCACCTGCTCCGCGCTTGGTGTGAACAAGGCCTTAGGTCTACTTCACTTTGTCAGTCAAGTCTTATTTAAGTGATTTCTTGATTGCGAACAAGTGTGGCAGTAATCAGGCCTGGGTGTGGCTAGAGAAATTTAACTCAGGTGTGGTAAACCAGAATTAAGTTATGTGGGCAAACACTTTTTCACACAGGGCCATGTGGGTTTGGATTTTGTTTTCCCTTAATAATAAAAACCTTCCTTTAAAAACTGCATGTTGTGTTTACTTGTTTGCTATATTTGACTAATATTTAAATTTGTTTGATGATCTGAAACATGAAAGTGTGACAAACGTGCAAAACAATGAAAAATCATGAAGGGGCCAACACTTTTTCACACAACTGTATAAAGGACTACAAATTCTAGTGATAGATTATACAACAATACAGAATATCACCAGCTATAGAGGACTACAAATCTCAGCAATACATTATATAACAATGCAGCAGAATACCACCAGCTAGTGGACTGCAAAGCCCAGCATTACATTATACAATAATGCAGAGGGCCAGGGCTGCATGCTGTCTCACCAAAGCTGAACACAGTCTCACCAGGGCTGCGCTGTCTATCCAGGGCTGCGTGCGGGTCTCACCAGGAGTTTGTGCGGGTCTCACCAGGGCTGCATGTGGTTTCACCAGAGCTGCGTGTAGGTTTCCCAAGGGCTGTGTGAGAGGTGGCTCCCCGTTGCTGTTCGAGCGGGTGTGGCGGCGGGTCTCCCCAGGGTTGTTTTGGTTGATGTGGCAGCGGGTCTCCCCTGTGCTGTGCGGGTGTCCTCGGGTCTCCCCATGGCTGTACAGGTGGGTGCGTCCGGCAAGAAGGAGAAGCAGGAAATATGTGGCCGGACTGATGCTGTAAATGGGTGCTGCGAGGTCCCCAGCAGGCTGCCCCAGCAAGGACCGGTATCAGCGTTAAGTATCGGGGCATTTTAATGAGTACTCGTGAAAAGGCCCAGTATTGGCACCGGTACATCCCCAATTACAGACTTTTGAATTCATCAGCATAAGCTGTCTTTCCTGGTTCAAGGTACCGATAATGCTAATGCTTCAAACCAAAGAAATTGTAAATGACCCCTAAAGTCCTTACCAAAACAGGGTAGTGTGTTGAACAGTGTGTTGTGTCACTTTTCTGCTTAAAAATTTAAAAAATTCCCTGGTACGGAAATGAAAAGTGAGATCGCCACATATTATCATAAATGGATTTGAAGAAGTTACTTAACTTCATATTACTCACCTATCAGTTGTAAACATATAACCTATGACATTTTTCAGTGCAAGTGCAATACTGCTGATCAACAAGCAACCAATTGCTGAAAAATAGGAAACGCAGATTAGACTGGAAAATAATTTAATATTTCAATTGCCTAGTTTATGCTCTAAAACAGCAAACAACAATAACTGAATCAGAAGTGATATTCCAAGCCTAAGGAAATTGCATAATTGAAAACAAATGACAGATAAATGCAAGGCTGTTTTTCAAATGTGTTCTAGGCCTGACTATGAATGTGTACCTATAGTCATTTTTTGGATTAGGATCAGATTTTGGATAGAGTGAGTTAGAACCATTGTTAGTTTTTTTTAGATTTCCCTTTACTTGTTGCCCCTAAAACATAACAGGGAGTCATGGAAAATCTTTCCAAAGTGAAGGGAAAACCCCCAATTAGGCCACTGTCACTTAGTGGGTCTGTCAAAAGTTGTGTGGACACTGGGTCACTATATCCTGGCCTCCCTTGAAATTTCTAAATCCTCTCTGGTGTCTAGTGGGTTCTCTCAATCTTCAGTTCACAGACCGCACTATCACTCCCTGTTGGCCACGCAGCCGACTTAGCCCTGCCCACCATGCGCTGGTGGGCAGGGCTAAGTCCGGTCACCAATGTTGTCAGTCCTGTTACAGCTACTCCTTGGCCTGTCAATCAAACAGCCAAGAAGATGAGTAAAATGTGACCTGGCCACAATAAAGTGGATCCCCCCCCTTGCGTGGCTCTCGCCCTTTAAAGGGGCCACTGGCCAGGGCTACTCCAGGAAAAATAAAGTTGTGAATCATCGGCCATTAGGATAACAGACAGCAATAAAATCATAATAGGGGTTCTAACCCTTGCCCACTCTATTTAGTAAAAAAATTGTCTCCCTGTTTAACTGCAGAAATAAAAAATAATTAGAATGGTGTGCAAAAGACAACAATTACAGAAAGACACTGTCATTATTATCATTTCTTAATTATATTATTTACAATGTATACACAAAACAAAATTATATAGGGCTTTCTGAGATGAGAAGAAAAACCACAATAAAATTGAGCCAGTTCAAAAGAATTTACAAAACTTTTATTAACATAGAAAACATTAAAATATCAGTCTTGAGGAGTAAGTCTAATTGGTTGCATCTATATATACCAAAGACCATATGGTGTCAACTACTGGATGTTGAAAGGTGATTCCACCAATGTTCAAAACTTCTTATTTCCACCTTAAACACGTTTCACGTCACAGCTTCAACAGGAAGGTAAGTGAAGTAATCTATGGTTCACAAATACCAAATCATGAATGCAACATATTCACATATGGGGACTAGAATAGCATGTTTACTTGTAAGTGCTGTATTACAGTTAAGTACTTAAGAAAATTATCCTCTATTAAAACCCAGTAGGAAATGCTGCCAGTCCAGTCTTTATTGGGCTGGAGATATTTCCTATTGGGTTTTAATAAAGGATTACTTAACTCACCTTCCTGATGAGGCGGTGACACAAAACTTGTTTAAGGTGGAAATAAAGAGTTGTGGAATCACCTTTCAACATCTAGTAGTTGACACCGTATGGATTTTGTATATGTAGATGCAACCAATTAGTCTTACTCCTCAAGATTGTGATAATCCTCTGCTAACAAATATGATCTGTTGTTATGGGTGTTCATGGATATTTTAATGTTTTCTATGTTAATAAAAGTTTTGTAAATTCTTTTAAACTGCCTCAATTTTATTGTGGTTTTTCTTCTCATCTCAGAAAGCCCTATATCATTTTGCTTTGTGTATCCATTTAAGTTAGGGTGAGATGAGAATACGTTTTTGGGAGACCTAATATTTATATTATAATATTTACAGTGTATGTCTAACCAAAATTATTTTTGGATAGAAAGGGTTAGAACTGTCGCAGTGATGGTCAGCATAATTGGCCAATAGAAATGCACATCATTTATCCTCAATGTATGCATAAAGCTGACCATACACTGCTCAAATTTGTGTGGCAGTGTGTGTCCCTTTTGGCACCACTCTGGTCGACAAAAGTCAATTTATTAATCGATGGAGACGGGCCGACAACCATTGGCTGCAGTCACTGTTTGGGTATTCTGGGTATTCTGGCAGTCACACTTGCCGCTGTCAGAATACAATAGCCTGGCAGGGAAGATCCCACATCCACACTGTTTAGTATAAATGGGGGAAACAACGGGGGTTATGGCCAGCTTTACTCTAAGGAGTGCACCTTTGTTATATATAACATAACCTAATCTGCATTTCTATCCATGAGAAAGTATATGGCATATTAGGGCTGGTAATGATTAACATTTTTGTGTTCGATTAATCGAAATTTTTTGAAATCAATTAATTGATTAATTTCGATTAATTATAATGCACATACAGATCCAACTACATTAGCCTATACACATAAAGCACAGCAATGAAGTAATAAAATAAACTAGGATCACAGTAATCCAGCACGTTATTAATCTCATGTGCCCCACTCAATATGGCCGCCGCTTGAGTGGGGCAGCTCAGAATAATAACGTGCTAGATTAGTGTGATCCTAGTTCATTGTATGACTTCATTGCTGTGCTGTATGTGTATAGGCCAATGCCTTGGCTGGCGCTCGTGCAGAGAGTTTAAAAAAAAAATTAATCGATCAAAAAGATTAACGATTAATCGAGAAATTAATCGTTAATTTGCACAGCCCTATGGCATATGCTGTCCTCTTTATTAGTACAAGTGAATCATTGACACAGAAACATACATGATGGCAGTACACAACTAAGCAAATTTTGGGAAACATTGAAATGCTTGCATGAAAATACAACTTGAGCAAACACAAAAATTAAGAGCATACATGTTGTAGAAACCAGAGACAAGGAGAACTGAGAGTCACTCAGAAACCAAATATTTGCTTTGGTTTCATAAAAAATACAGTATATATTCATGTCATCCACTTTATGATTTAGCACAGAAAAAAATATATTACTTTCTACAGGGTACACATTTTTTTAAAACTTGTTTTATATTATGTAGTATTTCTTTAGTGCCCAAAATCCTACCTGTGCAGCAAAGTACAACTTTACAAGACTTTATGGCTTGTTCGATGTCTCCAGCTCCTAAAGCATTTCCAATCCTGACATTGGCAGCCGTGCCAAAGCCAATTGGAAGCTGTAGAGGAAAATATTAATGTGATTTAGAAATTGCTGGTGAGAATCATTTTAGTTTACCATGGTAAATAACTGCAACCTCAGACATTACAGAAATTATCCAAGTGGACATGATGCCAAAATATTTGTATGAGAAAAAATACTCAAAACTTTTAATCAAATTAAAATATATAATGTCCTTTAAATATTCTAAGGGGGGTTGATATGAATTTAATGTAATGGGCACAAATTGCTCGATGCAACTTAAAAACTACATAAATGTTTATTTTGTTTGAAATTCATTCTGAATCCCCAAAATGCAAAGGCTTTTCTAAACCCTGTCCCATTCTTTGTAGTTATAAACTGGTAAAAAGGAACCTATTTTAAAGTGCCCCATGATTATTATAAAAGTGTTAACTGAGCAGCAGTGTGAGAAGCAGTGGCTTATATATGCTTGCATGTCTGCTCGTATACCTTGTACAATGTCCTGGTAGCCTGAGCCTAGAGATGCTCTAATAAATAAATAGCCTGGTCAGGATCTTGTGTTTGACTCGCCCCATTTAGGCTTTCTGCATCTCCCTATTGGCCCATAGTTTTAAACCGAGTACCCCCAGAGCCTTCCAGACCATTTTTATTCTGCCAAATTGCATGAAGCCTGGTTTACATAGGCTTTAGCTTGGAGATACAGTATGTGTCTCGAGCAACTTTTACTACAAGTATTATTAAAGCATAATCAAAGCTTTCATTGGTTTTTAGTAGCTTCCATGAAACCCTCAAAGTATATTTCCACTTCCAAACAATTTTTAGCACTATCTGAAGGAACAGCCAGCATTTTCATTAAAGTGCCACTAATCTCAGGAGTTAAACCTTAAACATACATGACTATTACCTTAACAATTAACAAAAATGTATCTTATTTGTGTCTCCCTTTAGCTGTAGATCCTCAAATAATGTCTGAATCTGTGCTGATAATGTCCTTCCTTCTGGAGGGTGGCTACCTTTGTTCCCCATGGTCCCTGTGTGTGTTGTAAAGTAGTCACCGCCCCAAGCTCACTCCCGTGATGGACAACAATCGCAATACAAATTATTAAACTAAAATTGAGATTGTAGTCCATCGCAGGAGTAAGCTTGGAGTGGTGGCTGCTTTACAACACACACAGGGACCATGGGCAACAAAAGTAGCCACCCTCCAGAAGGAAGGACAATGTCAGCACCAATTCAGAGATGATTTGAGGATCTACAGCCGAGTGATACACAACACAAATAAGAAACATTTTTGTTATTTAGTTGGGTTACTTGAATGTATTTTTAAGATTTAACTTTAAGATTTGTGGTCAGCCCACCTGGATTATCTACTCTTAAAATTGGTTGACATTTCTTGCTCATTTCTCTTGTACTGGAATAATGAGTAAAGGAAGTTGTAACATTGTTACATATTTGATCCAGACCCTCTTGCACCCCATTGTTCCTGCACACACACCCCTTAAACATACCCCTCTTTCACCCTGAAGCATTTCTTCCTACATACAGTATATTCAATTCTTACCCTGATTAGTAGCTAATGACTGCCATCCTGCACTTTGAGCACCCAGCCATTGTTTTCTTCATCTTTTATACCACTCATCTCCTGCCCTTGTTTTTAACATTCTACCCCTTCTCTTCACCTGAATGAATTTCACACATTCATCAAAGCCTCATTGCTTCCTTAAATGTAAACACTCTTTTGGGGCACTGCATTGCTTCTTCTCCTTGTTAGCCCATGAGTACAGCAGCAAAACAGACTGTACTGCTTCTCCTTCTAGCCTGAGCTCTGCTGTACAGGGTATTTCACAAGGCAGATATTGAGTCAAATACAGGTATTTACTCTGCATTAAACAAATACATTAAATGTTGATTAAATTGTACTTTCTTTCCGACTTTAGCTTTAAAAGAAACAGTGTCATATTAAGTAGGTTTAAAAATGTTACAATGCATAAACAGTAAAGCGACCATCATACCATTATAGCCAATGTTAACAACTGCAACATAATGACTTGTCCCCCCAGCTCCACAACACTAATAAGCCCTAAAAAAAATAAAAAAAAGTTGAATATGTTAGTAGTTGGACAACATTCCATACATGTTTTTGTTTACTTTTGTTTACATACTTACATGACCCAATAACAAGTGCGTTTCAAGGCCCACTGAAGAACCACAATTGATAAATATAAATCCTATTGTTTCCATAAGTAAAGGAAGAGAAGGACAAACTAAAACAGTTACCCATAGCGTAGTCAGTAGAGAAATCCAATCAGGGTTTTACCTGTCATCCAAAAAGCACGTGAGTGCAGGATTGGAATTTAGGCCCCTTGGTTGGATGCAATCCAGCGTATAGATCCAAAAGGCTTCTCTCCTGAGAAGTTGTTTTGCCCTGTCACCACCCCTGGGATGTTGTGTGTACCGTACTGCTTACCATCCCTTCCCCCCTCCCTACACCACCCCTCTCCCACACGCCCAACTACTTGCTCCTCAAGGTCTTGGGGCGTGTTGCTTTTGCCTTTTTTCTGCATGCTCATAATTTTTCATGAGGACCAAATAGGGATGTTTCCAGATTGTTATCAATGTATATGCAATAATGTTACTGTCCTTAATGGTGGACATATAGGATTTACGGTCTTCTCTACTGTTTTACATTCCCCTGTGTGCTTGACACCATAACTTTTGGCTCAAATGTATTCTTTTGTGCGATTATATATCAATACAACGTTAAATGATGTGTCCCTATATGAATATGCTTCACATGTTTACTCCTGTGGGCTTATATGTGCACCACCAATGTCAGCATAATCTTATCCTAATGTGGGTTGTTAATGGGGAATGTCTTTTGCCTGCACTGACTGCACTGTCAAATTGTGCTTATGACTGCAGTTCGCTACTTGTCCACTGTGCATGCCAGCGTCCTGTACCCTAGGCAACCAGCTGATGTTACTTCCAGCTAACGGCCATATCATTACAACTCGCTGTGTACATTAGTGGATTACAGGTGAGCCTCATTTGAGTGCAGAATGGCGGGAA